ATGCACCTGTTAAAGACACCATAGATGGCAGTCTTTACCCCAGGACAATATGTCAAAGCTACTCTAATTAATCACAGGGCAGTTGTGTTTCACCAACCATGGAAAGCCCAAAACAATAGAAGTAGAAGGAGAACTCAATATCTGAAAGGTTATCTTTTCCTTGTGTAAGGCCCCAACAGACATGTGTAACTCCTGGGTTTCATGTGTCACTAGAGGCTCATCTAATGGTCTACTATCTATGGCCTCAACGGCCAACAGTGTAGCATTTCGGACCAGAGTCAGGATCCATTAGATTATCCGCGGCTCCTGAATTGATCAGGGCTTCAGTGGTGATGGTAGAACCGTAATGAGCAGTCTGGTGATATTAGCAAGAGGGGATAGAGTCATAACACCCAAGCCCCGACCCCTCATTAGGAATTTTCCTGTAGACCAGGCCACGTCTCTCTGAGATGCCCCCTCTTCCCGCAATAAAGGCATCGACCTTCCCTCCTCCTTCCCTCCTTAGTTTGGTGTAGCCCAATTGCATGGGTTCGGGTAGAGAACTGGATGGAGGTAGGGCAAGCAAGGCCATAGAGTGCAGAGACTGGAGTGGGCGCGTTTGTAACCTTCTTTGGGTCTTTCTATGACTATGCCTCTTCCTTATGCAATTGTCTATGGTGATGCAATAATCAATAATGTCATCCAGGAGGATAGGTAATTTTCATCTAAGAGGTAACCGGCCAATCCCTCCTGAAAGGCGGTTACCAGAGCATCATTACCTCTGCCGCCAAAGTGCAGAATTCTATAGCATAACCTGCTACCGTTCTTGACCCTTGTTTGATTCTTAACAAGGCTTTCCTAGCAGAAGTAACCCTTCCAGGCAAATCAAATGTTATTTTGTAGGCAGAGAGGACGCCCATATCGGATTAGCCCAAGTCAGGGCCCTACCCGATAGGTGATTTATTAAAAGCGCTATCTCTGAACTATCGCAAGGGTATGAACGTGGGTTCATAACCAGATGTATATTGATTTGGTTAATGAATCCATGACATAATGTTGGTTCACCACTATAGCGCTGTGGTGAACAGTATGAGCCGGGATAACCAGTACCGGTTCAGAAACAGGAGGGGCAGCAGCATTTTCCTGCACGTCAGGTTGCAAATGGGCAGTATGAACCAAGATGGTCTGCAGTGCTTGTGCAAACTCATACCCAGGACATACTTGAAAACGAGAGAAATCTAAATGTATCTTTCCTGGTAAAATATTTTATATATAAAATCTGTCCTGCAGTCTTGGTTAGCTAATTGTCATGATATGTCTGTAGGTTCCATGTGGCCCTGTTGTAATGTCATAGTTACGGAATCAGACACATGGACAGATTACGAGAGGAACAATTGCAATACCGTGATATGCAAAAAGAGAAAGGTCAGTGTACAAGCCAAAGTCAAACGAGTATAGAGATACAGAAAAACGATAAGACAAGCAAAGGTCAGGGATCAGAGAAGACAGAGTAAACGAGAGACAAAGCCAAAATTTGGTAACCAAAGATCAGACAGTGTAAATGTGGTATTCGGCTATCAGAAGACCACAACAGTGCAACAAGGCACAGAGGAGGTTTCAATATTCTTAGTGCAATTCTGATTGGCTAGTTTCAATTAGAGTGACTTATAACACATGGAAGGTATTTGATCCTTCCACTTTGACCCCTGACATCATCAATGTGCGCCGAGTCAGGTGTGTGCAGCGTTAGACAGAATGCCGGCGGGACCTGTGTTCAATGAAACAACCGTGAGCGGCGAGCAGGCACTAAAAGCTGCCGCTCGTGGTGAACGGGTAAGTGAAGTGAAGAAAGGGGGAGGGGTGGCCTTGTATGTGAAGGATAGCATAAAATCTAGCCTAATAAAAGTTAGTGAGGCAAATATAGAGTCCGTTTGGGTTACATTAGAATTTGGTAATCACCTCCCCGCCGGAGGAGAGGAGATGGGCTGACATAGAATCTATGATGGTAGGGGTCGACGTCCCCCAGTTCGCGATGTGGGTTCCCAAGGGGCATAGACCCGCGATACGGAGTACATGTCCGTCCATACTCAATTCTATTCGGATTTGGGATGCATGCCATCTCAAATACAGACTGGCAACGTCCCCCTCCCCAATGACCCAATTCCTTAGGAATGGGGACTTTCTCCCCAGCATGGCTCCCAGAGATTTTCGTAACATCGAACGCACAGGGCTGCAACATCTACATCAGCTGTATCGAAATGGCTCGGTAATTCAATTTGCAGAACTACAGCAAGGGGCCCATTTAACCCCCGCAGATTTTTTCCTCTATGTCCAGATTCGCGACTTCGCTAGCAAACCTCGCATTAAGGCAGCAGCTCTGGGTCAGATGACCTTTTTCAAAAGGCTCGATACGAAGATACGGTTGGATGAACAATGTAGTCTGTGAGCAAGTTGGGCTTTTGCGTAGAATGGGATCATGGTATGGCTGCCATTCTAGTCGCACTCTACAACACCTAACTTTAGATAGCGGACTCCTTGGGCATATGTCAGGGATGGGCATGTGAAGTCCATATAACTACACACAATAAGGCCAGGCACTATGACTGTACTGATTCGTTATTTTCATTAATTCCCTGATATTTTCTGGGCATCTCTCGCAGTTAATGTGCCTCTTTTTATATTAATAAGCAATGTAAGTAGCAAGACTGCCATTACTTATCAAAAGGGAATTCGAAATTGAATGTGTATAGAGTTTTGCGTATCGTCCACCCCACTGTTTACTAACAGAATTGTTTTTTCTGTCTTATTTTTTACTCTTTAACCTTAAAAATGTGCTGTATTAACCTGTGACATTGTCAAATGCTGTAAGATGCACACAGACGCTGATGTGGCTCTGTGTAATTGTTGTTGATACATGCACGACAAAAAAAAAGAATTAAAAAAAAAAAAAAAGAATTTGGTAATCACACAGTAACTCGTGTAGGTGTGACTTATAGGCCCCCAGGACAAATTGAAGAGTTAGATAATCTACTAGTTGAGGAAATAGCTAAAATGACAATGAAGGGGGAAGTTATCATCATGGGTGACTTTAATCTTCCTGATGTAAATTGGAAAACAAAATTAGCTACTTGTGCCAGGAGCACACATATTCTAAACTCCCTACTGGGATTGTCTCTAAAACAGGTTGTTGAGGAGCCAACTCGTAAAGAGGCCATACTAGATTTAGTGTTAACAAATGGAGATTTGGTATCAGATATTACTGTAGGTGAAAGTTTAGGATCCAGTGATCACCAGTCAGTGTGGTTTAATATAAGAACAGTGACTGAGTCACACCACACAAAAACAAAAGTTTTAGACTTTAGAAAAACAGACTTTTCTGAAATTAGAATATGGGTAGAGGAGTCATTATCAGACTGGAGCAATTTAAATGGAGTCCAAGAGAAATGGGATTATTTAAAAGTTGCACTATTGAAGGCAACAGAAAATTGCATTAGGCTTGTCAGTAAAAGTAAAAAATTCAAGAAACCACTGTGATACTCCACAGATGTGGCCAAAATAGTTAAAAACTAAAAGTTAGCATTTCGTAATTATTAAAAAAAACTGAGTGAGGAAGACAAAATAATCTATAAGATTAGGCAGAACGAGGTTAAGCAAGTTATAAGAGCTTCCAAATCACACAAAGAAGAGAAAATAGCACAGTCAGTAAAAAAGGGGGATAAAACATTTTTTAGATACATAAATAAGAAAGCTATTAAAAGAACTTAGTGGTGTACTAGCAAAACCATTAACAGATTTATTTAACCAATCATTGTTAACAGGAGTAGTCCCAGAAGATTGGAAGTTAGCGAATGTTGTGCCCATTTACAAGAAAGGTAATAGGAAGGAGTCGGACAACTATAGGCCAATAAGCCTTACGTCCGTAGTGGGGAAAGTGATGGAAACCATGTTAAAGGATAGGATTGATGAACATCTAAAAACACATGGATTTCAAGATCAGAGACAACATGGGTTTACTACAGGGAGATCATGCCAAACTAATCATTGATTTTTTTGATTGGGTAACTAAAATTATAGATCAGGGTGGTGCAGTAGACATTGCTTACCTAGATTTCAGTAAGGCTTTTGACACTGTTGCACATAGAAGGCTTATCAATAAACTGCAATCTTTAAGTTTGGATTCCAATATTGTTGAATGGGTAAGGCAGTGGCTGAGTGACAGGCAACAGAGGGTTGTAGTTAATGGAATATATTCGAAGCTTGGACTTGTCACCAGTGGGGTACCTCAGGGATCTGTACTTGGACCCATTCTCTTTAATATTTTTATTAGTGATATTGCAGAAGGTCTTGATGGTAAGGTATGTCTTTTTGCTGATGATACTAAGATATGTAACAGGGCTGATGTTCCAGGAGGGATAAGCCAAATGGCAAATGATTTAGGTAAACTAGAAAAATGGTCAGAATTGTGGCAACTGACATTTAATGTGGATAAGTGCAAGATAATGCATCTTGGACGTAAAAACCCAAGGGCAGAGTACAGAATATTTGATAGAGTCCTAACCTCAACATATGAGGAAAGGGATTTAGGGGTGATTATTTCTGATGACTTAAAGGTAGGCAGACAATGTAATAGAGCAGCAGGAAATGCTAGCAGAATGCTTGGTTGTATAGGGAGAGGTATTAGCAGTAGAAAGAGGGAAGTGCTCATGCCATTGTACAGAACACTGGTGAGACCTCACTTGGAGTATTGTACACAGTACTGGAGACCGTATCTTCAGAAGGATATTGATACCTTAGAGAGGGTTCAGAGAAGGGCTACTAAACTGGTTCATGGATTGCGGGATAAAACTTACCAGGAAAGGTTAAAGGATCTTAACATGTATAGCTTGGAGGAAAGACGAGACAGGGGGGATATGATAGAAACATTTAAATATATAAAGGGAATCAACACAGTAAAGGAGGAGACTATATTTAAAAGAAGAAAAACTACCACAACAAGAGGACATAGTCTTAAATTAGAGGGACAAAGGTTTAAAAATAATATCAGGAAGTATTACTTTACTGAGAGGGTAGTGGATGCATGGAATAGCCTTCCAGCTGAAGTGGTAGAGGTTAACACCGTAAAGGAGTTTAAGCATGCGTGGGATAGGCATAAGGCTATCCTAACTATAAGATAAGCCTAGGGACTAATGAAAGTATTTAGAAAATTGGGCAGACTAGATGGGCCAAATGGTTCTTACAAATCAAGTTGCAGTATGGTTGAGTTCATGCAACTGTATGTTTTGATACAGTCCTTTAAGTGATGTTCCACATATAAATCTCTCCTCATGCTGTTTTGGCACATCTTTGAGTGAGTTTAACGATGAAATTGTGTTTTTCAAATGCAACTCAATTGTGTTTAAAGGACCACTATAGGCACCCAGACCACTTCAGCTTAATGAAGTAGTCTGGGTGCCAGGTCCACCTAGGATTAACCCTTTCTGCTGTAAACATAGCAGTTTCAGAGAAACTGCTATGTTTACTTTAGGGTTAATCCAGCCTCTAGTGGCTGTCTCATTGACAGCCGCTATAGGCGCTTCCCACTGTGAAAATCACAGTGAGAAGACGCCAGCGTCCATAGGAAGGCATTGTGAATGCTTTCCTATGGACTGGCTGAATGCGCGTGTGGCTCCTGCCGCGCATGCACATTCAGCCGAGGAGGAGGAGAGTCCCCCACCCGGCGCAGGAGAAAGAGAAAATCACAGTGAGAAGACGCCAGCGTCCATAGGAAAGCATTGAGAATGCTTTCATATGAGACTGGCTGAATGCACGCGCGTCTCTTGCCGCGCATTCTCATTCAGCCGATGACGGGGAAAGGAGGAGGAGAGTCTCCAGCACCGAGGAGCGCGGCGCTGGAGAAAGTTAAGTGTTTAACCCCTTCCTCTCCATCCAGCCGAGCAGGATTGGGACCCTGAGTGTGGGGGCACCCTCAGGGCACTATAGTGCCAGGAAAACTTATTGACTCGAGTATAAGACTAGGGTGGGAAATGCAGCAGCTACTGGTAAATTTCTAAATAAAATTAGATCCCCAAAAAATTATATTATTTGAATATTTATTTACAGTGTGTGTATATAATGAATGCAGTGTGTGTGTGTATGAGTGCAGTGTGTGTGTGTGTATGAAAGCAGTGTTCGTGTGTGTGTATGAGTGCAGTGCGTGTGTCTGTATGAGTGCAGTGTGTGTGTATGAATGCAGTGTGTGTCTGTGTGTGTGTGTATGAGTGCAGTGTGTGTGTGTGTATGAATGCAGTGTTTGTGTGTGTGTATGTGTATGAGTGCAGTGTGTGTGTCTGTATGAGTGCAGTGTGTGTGTGTATGAGTGCAGTGTGTGTGTATGAATGCAGTGTGTGTGTGTATGAGTGCAGTGTGTATGAGTGCAGTGTGTGTGTGTGTATGAATGCAGTGTGTGTGTGTGTATGAGTGCAGTGTGTGTGTGAGTGTGTGTGAGTGCAGTGTGTGTGTGTGTGTGTGTAAGAATGCAGTGTGTGTATGTATGAGTGCAGTGTGTATATGTGATGCAGAGCCTTGGTGGGGGGTGGGCATTTATATTATTTTTTTTTAATTATTATTAATATTTTTATGTTATTTTAATATTATTAAATGTTTTATTTATATTTTTTTTCGTCCCCCCTTCCTGCTTGTTAGCTGGCCAGGGAGGGGGGCTCTCATTCCCTGGTGGTCCAGTGGTGTGCACTGTGCAGGAGGGGGACTGGCAGCAAGCTGTAACTTACCTTTCCTGCAGCTCCTGTCAGCTCCCTTCTCTCTCCTCTGGTCCGGTCAGCTCCCTTCTCCTCCACTGTAAGTCTCGCGGCCGTGCGGAGCGTTCCCCGCGGCTCTCGCAAGATTTACAGTGGAGCTGACAGGGGAGCTGACCAGACCGGAGGAGAGAGAAGGGAGCTGACAGGAGCTACAGGAAAGGTAAGTTACAGCTCTCTGCCAGCCCCCAACAGGACCGCCGGGCTTGTAATGAACCCGGCGGTCCTGGTCTGTATTATGGCAATGTAAGTTGCCATAATACAGACATTAACTCGAGTATAAGTCGAGTGGGGGGTTTTCAGCACAAAAAATGTGCTGAAAAACTCGACTTATACTCGAGTATATACGGTAATCTGTGTGCAACACAGTGAATGCCAGTTACATGAGTGAGATTTTGCCGTACTTTCCATACCAGTCCGTTTTCAGCTCCAATCATTCTGGTAGCACCATCTGTACCAAATCCAATCAGCTTGCTTGAAGAAAGGCTGTGTGTCTTCAGGTGTTTAGTACGGTTTCTAAGTACCCATCTGCAGTAGCCATTTCAAGAGGAAGGACTGATAGAAATACTTCTTTAATCTTACTGTTCTTGACGTACCTGACATACAATATTAACTCTTCGACGCATCTAGAATCAAACTGACATATTTTGCCTCCTTTAGCTCACAAATGAGTTCTTTCCTTATTACATTTGCAATATGTAAGATGAATTCCTTGCATCTCTTGTGATTTGCATTCTCCTCTCTCACAGCAATGCCTAGTTTCCCAGTCAGCTCTAGCAAACCTTCAAAATCTGTATATGGCCTGTTTTTTGCAATATAATAAGCCACATTAAAAAGAACGTTAATTCGGTTGAACATTCCTTGATCCTTTTTCTTAATTCATGCAGCCAATGGCGTAGCTTCTGGACCCAAAGAGCATGTTTTGCCTTCACACATTTTTCATGCTGGAGAGACTTTCCATGTTTTTTGAAGGTCTCCAGTTTAAATGGCCCTGAAAACCCTTTCACACACTTAGATGCTTGGTCAGCAATCTCAGGGAAGAAAGCACAGATCTCACATATGGCTATACCCATGTTATGGTCAAATTTTAGTCACGTGAGTTCCTAGCACCAATCTTTTTTAAACTTCATTTTTCCAGCATTTTGAGAGTGACTTGTTGAAGGGGACTCCTCTGCTGGTTGTTCTTCTCTTGTGCAGGTTGGTTCTGCAGTAACAAGTTCCACTTCACTTTCCAAACAAGAGGTTTTTGCAAAGAAATTTGTCATCCGCAATTGCTTTGCATCTTCTGACTTTGCAGCTTTTGCTGCACGCTTCATTTTTTCTGAAGTCCCAAAGAAAGATGTTTGCATTTTAGTACTTGTTATTATTTCTGTAATGGCATGGTCTGCAAAAAAATGACTATTTTACTTTTTTTATTTTTAGGTTTTTTTTTTTTAAAAGCACAGCACACCTTCTTGTAAGTAACCCTGATGTGTCTCTTTACAGATGCACACAGGTTTACACACAGGTTTGTCTCTCAGCTTTTGCCCATTAACCTTTTAGGACGCCAAAGTAGATTAAAAACCGTCAAATCAGTGAATCAACCTGCATGTGTCACATATATATTATTGGGCAGACTAGATGGGCCGAATGGTTCTTATCTGCCGTCACATTCTATGTTTCTATATATATGTCACATACTTCTGGACAACAGCAGTATGTTACTGTGCATTTTGGGAGAAATAAACGGATCCATGATCTTTGAGGAAAAAGTTTAAGGATGGCTATTTTGGGAGAAATTATTATGAAGATGGATAAATGGAATTAAAAAGGTAATAGGCTAGTAAGAAGAACATTATCTCTTTATTTTAAGTTAACAACAAAAAATTATTAAAAAAAACAAATTAAAATATTGTCTTTCACTTTTGCTTAACTCTGGTCAAAGAAGTGTGCTTTTTTTAGATAGACAATAGTGGGGAAATATTGACATCATGCACTAGACAGTGTCAGGTGGCACTGAGGAGAAGAGCACAATAACATCCCAAATACATTACAAATACAATTGAAAAAAGACTTTGCTATCATAGCAATATAACCTCATTAGTGATGTCCCGAACGGTTAGCCGAACGGTTTGCCGAACGGTTTGCCGCGGACGGCGAACGTATGACCCTGTACCTCACAGTCAGCAGACACATTCCAGCCAATCAGCAGCAGACCCTCCCTCCCAGACCCTCCCACCTCCTGGACAGCTCACTAAGAATGCAGCTTCAAAATGGATGCTGTCCAGGAGGTGGGAAGGTCTTGGAGGGAGGGTCTGCTGCTGATTGGCTGGAATGTGTCTGCTGACTGTGAGGTACAGGGTCATATGTTTGCCGTCCACGGCGAACCGTTCGGGACATCACTAAACCTCATATGTAATTTTAAATTAACTTTGAGAACACAAATATATTATTTATTAATTATTGCTATATTATTATTTTTTTATCAATTATTACTATATTTGTTATTCATTATTACTATATTTATTAATTATTATTATATTATTTGTATTAATGATTAATGATTTTTTTTGAAGGAGTGGAGACTAAGTCCTTAAGGCGAGCATCAGAGGTAGGGGTACGAACAGAGGTTAGACGTAGGTCTCCGGCGTTGAGGCCTAGACTGTAACTTATGTTTATTTTTTAGCTCAGGTTTATCAGTCTGTTAATCAGCACTAATTGTCAGCTCAGATTGTAAGCACTGTATAAACATCCTGGTATTCAAATCAAAGAATACATAAAAAAAAAAGTATACACAGGCTCAAATAACTAAACTCACTTAGTACACATGTACATGCATAAACTCAGAATAGTGGATTGCTCCTTATTTAACCCATTAAAGGAGCACTATAGGCACCCAGACCACTTCAGCTTAATGAAGTGGTCTGGGTGCCTGGTCCAGCTAGGGTTAACCCATTTTTTATAAACATAGCAGTTTCAGAGAAACTGCTATGTTTATAATAGGGTTAATCCAACCTCTAGCGGCTGTCTCATAGACAGCCGCTAGAGGCGCTTGCATGCTTCTCACTGGGAAAATCTCAGTGAGAAGACGCCAGCGTCCATAGGAAAGCATTGTAAATGCACTGAATGCGCGCGCGGGAGGGGGACCCTGAGGGTGGGGGCCTTTAAGGGTCGCTTACGGTTCAGGACCGTTATTGAAAAAATCCTGTTGAGGACCGATGACGGTCCTGAACCGTCATAACAGTAATATTTACTTACCCGATCGCCGCCGTTCCCCCGCCGGTGATCAGCGTTGCTCCCGGGTTGGGGGGACTGCCTGACAGCCCAGGCAGTCCCCCCTCAGCGAATTAGGTCCCCACGGCCATGTGATCGCTCTAACAGAGAGGTCACGTGGCCCCAATAGGCGTCTGAATCTGCCTGTAGGGGGATTGCCTGAACTGACAGGCAATCTCCCTGCATCTGTAAAATAAAAAAATTAAAATTGTTAATAAATAAAAAATATATTTATATATGTGTGTATATATATATATATATATATATATATACAAAAATATAGGCAACAGAAGGCAAGCACTCACGGTCTTGTGGTCTCTTTAAAAGGATTTTCTTTATTTCATAGGTTAAAACTTGATCGACGTTTCAGCCAAACTTGATGGCTTTCATCAGGATCTTAACAACTCAAAGTACATCTGGCAAATAACACATTTATATAGCACAACAAATTATACAATTATTAATTAAAACACTCACCACCTGAAGGCTGCATTGCTTCCCGGCGTTCTGCCGCCGTCTCTGCGCATGCGTCAACCTGCCGCTACCCGGAAGTAGCGTGTTGACGTCACCGTTGCCATGGATACCCGGTATATTTACCTAGCTCCATGGCAACCCAGCGAGTAGAATACTCGCTCTTACACATTCAGCCTAGGGATTCTAATTTCTATACAAATCGAACTTAACATTTAAAACACATATTAAACAGAAGATATTCAACTAATTAGAGGAGTCTTTTCATTTCTAAATCACATTCTTAATCATGTTATTTCTAGAGAATATTTATATATCGGATTCCTAAGCATACTTATATAGAGTTAAAATCCTACCTCCATCTCATCATACAAATATTGTTAGGTATTTTTAAAGTGACAACTGCAAATTATATACAGTAAATTATGTTACAGTAAACTCAAAGTGCTAAACGTGCTATTTATATACATTAAAGTGCTAATATTTGAATTTTGTACGATAAAGTGCAACATAATATATTAAAGTGATACATGTGCTGTTTATGTACACAAAAGTGCTACACGTGCTGTTTATATACATCAAAGTGCTACTCTCATTTTAGTTACTATAAGATATCCCAATCTCTATATATTGGTAATGTATTTCTATGTTAGGTGCTATAAAGTGCTAATCTAATTATATAGTTATCATATATACAAAATTAGTGAAATATTAATAGTGTTATTTACAAACATTATTTACATAAAGCATTATTATAAATTATATTGTGTATCATACCTATATATTTACTCAATCCACTTTACCAACTAATTATATTAATTCTCCCCTACTTAGGGTAAATGTTATTTTAAATATTATTTTAAATATTATTATAAATAGGTGGTTGAGTCCCATCCTTCATCTAAATGGATGGGGTACGATTTATTCCCATATTAATACATATTTACTTTAATCTATTTATTTATTATTGATGTCTATTCTTTATGCTATAGGTCCTGTTTAAATATATAATATTATATCTCTATTTTATTTGAATGTTAGTGTATAATTATTAATAATAAATATATACATATTCTTCCTCTAGTTAAAAAAATTATATATATGTTAATAACTCAAAGGAGGCAAACAATTATTTCAATGTTACTCATATAAATGGATGATATGATATCATCTCGTTCAGTCCTCTTGGAGCCACAGTATCTAATTCCTGTATCCAGAATGTCTCTCTTCTCAACAGGGCATTACCCCTATCTCCACCTCTTCTAGAACATGGTATCCAATCAATTGCTACGAATTTTAACATAATCAAAGAATGTTTATATTCTAAAAAATGCTTCGCCACAGGTTTGTCTGTATATCCATCTCTATAGGCAGTTCTTATGTTAGATCTGTGACCCCTAATCCTGTCACAAAGTTGTGTTTCGGTTTTCCCTATGTAGACCAAGCCACAAGGGCACGAAATCTTATATATTACATGGGTCATCTTACACGTGATGGTGTGACGAATCTTGTATGTCTTATTTTTATGTGGATGGTTAAAATTACGTGCTGGCACCATGTGACTACACGTCACACAACCTAAACAGCGCACACTACCTCTTACTTGTATTGTCTTCTGTTCAGTATAGCTCTCAACTGGGTCTGTTTTCATTAATATATCCTTTAAATTTCTATTTCTTCGATAGCAAATTCGTGGTATTTCCTTGAATTCTTTTGGTAGACTATTATCACAGGCCAACATATTCCAATTACGTTTCACAATGTTATTTATTTCCTGTGATTTGCTGTGAAACGTCATAGGAAAAACCAATTTGGGACCTTTAGTGGTGTCTTGTAACGTGGTCGTATTCTCTTCTGCTTCTTCCAACGCTTTATCCAAGACTCTTTCACTATACCCTCTATCTAGAAATTTCATTTTCATTTCTTGTAATTGTATTTGTTTCGTTGTTTCCTTTGAATTATTTCTCATGACCCTGAGAAATTGAGTTTTAGGTATGGACTTAATCAAATTTTTTGGATGTGCACTGTTATAATGTAGTATGGTGTTCCTATCGGTAGGTTTAGAATATCCACACCTAAGGATTATCCACACCTAAGGATTTCTTTGGACGGGATACAAAGAGTAGAGCCAACTGGTCATCTGGCTCTAGTGTGTAGCGCTCTGTGATCTTTATAAGGTAGATCAACCACCCAATTTGCTGTATATCCTGCTGGTTTCTTCCTCCTTTACATATACAAAGTAGACAGGAATGTTCCAATGATGCAAAGATCCACAGTGTATTCACTACAAGTATATATAAACAATATCCAAAAATAACATATGAAATAAAATTAAAATAAAATAAAAGCTGACTTATATAAGTCCACAAATATTATAAAATAATGTCCAATAAAATGTCCAAAACGCGTTTCGAGGAAGCCAAGATTTTTGGCGAAACGCGTTTTGGACATTTTATTGGACACTATTTTATAATATTTGTGGGGATAATTCCACCAGCGCTGTGGCAATAGAGCAGTATTTGTCTTCTCTATTCTTGTAAGTATAATTTATTTTATCCAATTATCCTATTGTTCAAATTGAGAGCACTATTTGCTGTTTTATATATTTTGTGGATAACAACGGACCCTAAGCCGGAGAGGCGGACCCATCCCTTCAATTGCAAAGAGCTTCATACATCTGAGCAGGTCCTAGCTTACATTAAAGCAACCTGAAGGAATTCAAGCCGGACGGACGGACCGACCATCCAAGCATATCCTGTAGTGGGGATTAAACCACTAAGTGCCCTTTCTCCTAGAGCTGGTTCAAGCTCCAACAAATGTGAGTGAAATACCTTTCTCTTGATTCATATACCACATCTGGACGTGCAATATTTCACCATTGGCAGCTTTTCTTCTGTCTTTTTATCTCCACATATATGGACTATCTATCACACGGACGGACCAGTATCTGAGGACTAAAACCACACCACCATATACCAGTGAGATTGTTCCAACTTACATTATCCAATTCTTATATTTGGATGAACTTTGTCTATTTTATTTATATTATAACCTGATTTTACCCATTATTATTTTCTGATTTTATTCCTATTTATTGTTTGATTTTAAGTGCAGCCCTTAACTCTTTTTGTTTTCACTACTTATGTTTAGCACTAACAAGACATCTACAAGACAGGCAGCACACATATATGCACATACCCATGCATATAACCCAATTTTAACACAAATGTTAAAATTGTGTAACATGAATGTGGATTGAAAGTAGTGTAGTATATATCCCCCTGGATTCCGATTTTGCTTATAATTGCAATGGTAACCTTTTGGCATAGATACTTAAAGTAACACTATAGGGTCAGGAACACAAACATGTATTCCTGACTCTATAGTGTTAAAATCACCATCTAGCCCCCCTTCCTCTAAATATAGTTAAATCGTACCTTTATTCCAGTCTGCTGGTGCAGGCTCTGCCACTGATGTGCCTCTTTGGCTAACATAATCAGAAGTTGTGATCTCAGCCAATCACAATGCTTTTCCATAGGAAAGCATTGGCTTTGCTGAGATTGTCAAGGAGGCATATCAGGGGCAGAGCCAGCACAAGCCAAACACAGCACTGGCCAATCAGTTGAATCAATGCATCTCTGTGAGGAAAGTTCAGTGTCTCCATGCAGAGGCTGGAGACACTGAATGTCAGTGCTGCACACTCAGAAAGCACCTCCAGTAGGCATATGAGGAGTGGCCTGTAGAGGCTGTAATGTAAACACTGCCTTTTAGCTGAAAAAAAAGTATCTACTGCAAAAGGGCTGAAGGGAATGATTATATTCACCAGAACAAATACAATAAGCTATAGTAGTTCTGGTGACTATTATTATTATAACCATTTATTTAGCACCAACAGATTCTGCAGCGCTTTACAATAATATGAGAGGTGGGTTTAACTATAAATAGGACAATTACAAGAAAACTAACAGGAACAATAGGTTGAAGAGGACCCTGCTCAAATAAGCAAGAGACAGGTATCTAAAGTAGAGGTTATTTTGGGAGGCCATAAGCTTTCCTAGAGAGATGGGTTTTAAGGCACTTCTTAAAAGATGCAAGACTAGGGGATAGTCTGATGGCGGTAGGTAAAGGAAGGGAGCCGCCCGCGAGGTCACGGGCAGAGCGGAAAGAACGAGAAGGGGCATACCTATGGATCTGTGAAGAGCTATAAGAGGGGCTAGAATTGTTCAGTGCTTTATAGGTTTGGGTTAGCACTTTGAATTGACTTCTATAGGATACAGGAAGCCAATGAAAGGACTGACAGAGGGGTGAGGTGTGAGGACCGACTAGAGAGGAAAATCAGTCTGGCGGCAGCATTCATTACAGACTGTAGCGAGGCAATATGGCTTTTGGGAAGACCAATTAGAAGAGGGTTACAATAATCCATGCAGGAAATTAGTAGCGCATGGACAAGCTCCTTGGTAGCATCTTGCTTAAAGGACCACATACTCATACTCGTTTTCCTGGCACTATAGTGCCCTGAGGGTGCCCCCAACCTCAGGGTCCCCCTCCCGGCTCTAGGGGGTGGAAGGGGTTAAACTTACCTCTTTCTCCAGCGCCGGGCGGGGGACTCTCCTCCTCCGCGGCTGAATGTGCATGCGCGGCAGGAGCCACACGCGCATTCAGCCTGTCCATAGGAAAGCATTCACAATGCCTTCCTATGGACGCTGGCATCTTCTCACTGTGATTTTCACAGTGGGAAGTGCCTCTAGCGGCTGTCAATGAGACAGCCACTAGAGGCTGAATTAACCCTATTGTAAACATAGCAGTTTCTCTGAAACTGCTATGTTTATAGAAAAAATAGTTAATCCTAGCTGGACCTGTTACCCAGACCACTTCATTAAGCTGAAGTGGTCTGGGTGCCTATAGTGGTCTTTTAAGAAAGGGGCAGATGCGGGCTATGTTTTTAAGATGAAATCTACAGGCTTTGGCAACATACTTGATGTGAGGCTCAAAGGTGAGGGCAAAATCAAGTATGATGCCAAGACAGTGTGCTTGCAAGGATGGACTTATGTGGATACCACTGACTTGAAGGGAGAGCGAAAGAGGAGGATCAGTAAGGAAAGACAATGAGCTCAGTTTTAGAGAGATAAGTTTCAGAAATAGGGAGGACATCCAGTCAGAGATGGAAGAAAGGCAAGCAGTGACATGTTGCAGGACGCAGGGGAGAGGTCCTGGGAGGAGAGATATATCTGGGTGTCATCAGCGTACAGGTGGTAGTGGAATCCAAAAGAGGTAATAAGTTTGCCAAGAGAGGCACTCCAACCGAGACAGGACGAGGGGAGGAGGTATCATTAGAAAAGGAGACACTGAATGAGCATTGGGAGAGATAAGAGGAAAACCATGAGAGGACAGATTCACAGAGACCGAGTGATGGAAGAGTTTGAAGAAGTAGAGCATGATCAACAGTGTCAAAGGCAGCAGAGACCTAAGAAGAATTAGTATAGAATAGTGGCCTTTGGATTTAGCTGTGATTAGGTCGCTAGTAATTTTGATAAGAGCAGTCTCAGTAGAGTAGAGAGGGTGGAAGCCAGATTGAAGAGGGTCAAGGAGAGAGTTGGAATTGAGGAAGTGAGACATATGGGTAAAGACAAGTCTTTCCAGAAGCTTTGAGGAAAATAGGGAGCAGGGATATGGGACAATAGAGGGGGAGAACGGGTCAAGATAGGTACTACAGTGGCATATATAAAATCTATGAATACCAGTCAAAGGTTACCTCTTTTTACAGAGGAGTGTGTATAACAAAGTGCTTAAAAAATGAAAGTGATTTACAGGCAGCTCTATACACTTGTGTGGAAATATCCTCTATTCCACTAGACAAAATTGTAGATTTCAGTGCGGTGTAAGCGACAAGGACCTACACCTATAAGTGGAGCGCTCAAACACATATGCAGCTTACCAGATGTTATTTCATTCAATGATGGAATATAGGGTACATGTCAAGGAAAATACAAAAAATACAATATAGTGCAGATGGTATTTAAAGTGGCAATGCAATAATTGTAGTGATGTTGTGATGAATTGTACACTCACATTTCAGGAGCCTGTAGATAGAAACACTGGCTCCGTATTGAGGCTTGTGTGCTTATTATGGTAGCACCACCCTTCTACTTCGATTTGGAGTAACTCTCAAAGGCAAAAAGAGGGAGAGCGAACCAATGTGTAGATTGTAGTTATAAAAACACAATTATGTGTTAGTAAATGTGGTGCTCACCTGGTCCTGAGCCTATGGGTCCCGGCTCTAGGTATATAGATTCTGTGCCAATTTGAATGGGGATGGCACTACCCCTATGAAGATTCTCTGGAGGCTCCAAGAAGGACTTAAGCGGGATCTTAATTAAAATAACAAATTTATTGGTATATAGTAAATTTAAAAACAAAAGCTTTAAAAGTCCTTAATAAAAGTCCTTTAAAAAATGGCCAAGACGTGTTTCACTCTCAAATAGAGCTTCTTCAGTAAGCTGTAGTGTTGGTCCTCTGAATCTTCCATTTTTAAATGTCCTTAGGGTCTTCCCCTTTAATGAGCTCAGTGCATTTTGTCCAATCAAAGTGGAGTTTACATTTTTCTTATGTGGGGAAATGTATGTGTATACCTTTAATAGGTTAGGATTTTCGGCGCCTTTATTTGCTATAGATTTCATTGGTGGGCAGCGGTGGTTGGCGGAAGTGATCCGCATGCGGAAGCTCCCTGACTCCCCGGCCTTCCCCCCCTTTCCCTGTCTCTCCCTCCCACCCATCTCTCCCCCCCTTTCCCTGTCTCTCCCCTCTCCCCATCTCTCTCCCTCCCTCCTTTCCCTGTGTCTCTCCCCTCTCCCCATCTCTCTCCCTCTCCCCTTTTCACTTGGTGTCTTTCCCCTCTCCCTCCCTCCCCTTTCCTGTGTCTCTCCCCTCTCCCCATCTCTCTCCCTCTCCTTTTCTGTGTCTCTCCCTCTCCCTCCCACCCCCTTTCCTGTCTCTCCCCTCTCTCCCCTCTCCCTCCCTCCCTCCTTTCCCTGTCTCTCCCCTCTCCCTCCCTCCTTCCTTTCCCTGTCTCTCCCATCTCTCTCCCTCCCCCCTTTCCCTGTGTCTCTCCCCTCTCCCTATTCCCCTCACCATCTCTCCCGCCCCCTTTCCCTGTGTCTCTCCCCTCTCACCATCTCTCCCTCCCCCCTTTCCTTGTGTCTCTCCCCTCTCCCTCCCCCTTTCC